TCATAATATTAAGTTTAGTATTAATATACAAAATTTATATATTTAAAAAAAAACAATAAAAGTATTATTAAAAACAAAAAAATAAATTTAAAAATAAGTGAAAAATACTAAAAAAAAAAAAAACAAAGAAGAAAGAATTGGTTTGATCAGTAAATAGTAAGTAAGACAGATAAAATGGGACATAGGAAACTGATTTATTTTACCAATAAATATTAAACAAGTAAAATGAGACAAAAAATATTTTTCTTCTTAATTTAGGTGATCAGATTTTTTATTTTATTTTAGAGTTACGTTATTGCAGAGGTAAATAGGGTGTTGCTATTTGCACCACCCTTTGACTAAAATGAAGTATAAAGTACATTAAAAGTATAAAAAGGTGGTAATTTATAATAAATATATAGGTGGTGCAAATAACCAAATGGGTGATCAAAATGCTATTTGCACCACCTTAATAAAACTGCATTTATTGAATTTAAGTAATAATTAATTAATTCAAAATGTAATTCATTAAAAAAAAAAAAAAAAAAAAAAAAAAAAAAAACAATGAAACGTCGCCTTCTCCGGTGAGAAGGCGAACTGCCTTCTCACCGGAGAAGGCGACCGGAGAAGGTGACGGATCTCTTCTTCTTCTTTTTTTTTTTTTTTTTTTTTTTTTAATGTTGATTTGTTTAAAAAAAAATAATAAATATTACTTTTTGACCACATTTATTAATGGTGGTCAAATAGCACTTTGATATTTGCACCACCTATAAAGTTATTTGACCTATTATATAGGTGGTGCAAATAGCAAAATAGGTGGTGTGAATAGAATTTCCCGGTAAATATTCTTTAAAACATGACATGATTTCGATGAAAGGGTTTATGGATTATTATGTGGAAAAACATTGTTTTGTAATTAATAAGAGGAGAAAAATCATTTTCTTAAGTTGGTGTGCATTTAATGAAGGGTACAATGCTTTATAGTAATGTGTAAATGTTGAGTAAGACAAACCGACATGGCGACATTGACGCTTGTTCACCGAATAAGTAGCTAGTGTAGGTGCTGTATTATTTTATTTTATTTTATATTATTTGGACCGTTTTGGAACTATATTAGACTGAGATATACTACGGAGTAATAATCAATTAGAAGTATACCGTGTAATACAATTCAACCCTCGTGGGTGTTTTTTGTTTTTTTATTTTTTTATTTTTTTATCTGATCACATGTGTTTTCATTCAGTTAATTAACAACCATAAAATTAATTATATTCATATATTAAATTAAAAATATATATGTTATTTCAATTGAAATTTTAAATTAAAAGTTGAAGTGTATACATTTCTATTTTATACCCATATGTTATATGTTGAAGACTTAATTTGATTATACACATAATGGGTTGAAGCACCTACTGATATGGATGTGATTGTCGTCTACCCATGAATTTAGTAAAATTTTGACAATTTTCAACCCTATTGTCATTTCCATTTCATACTTGGTCAGAAAGCTAAGTAAATGGGTTACATTCTTTTGTAGTTTGCCTATCCAATGCCAAAACTATATTATTGGCCTAAATAAATGGCTTAATGTCTTCAAATATTCGTATTGTTTTTCTTTTTTCTTTTTCAATCAAAAGTTACAAAATATTTATTTAATTTGTAAATTTTGGTAGTTTTGATCTTTTGACAAATTGAAATATGGATTATTTTCTTCAATATTAGTCATTGTATCCAAAATCTAACATTTGAAGTTTTGAAAACACCAATAAAAAATATTTAAATTTTAATACATTTTTACTTTTCTTTGTTAAAAGTTAAAATTCCCATACTCTTGCAAAGTTGAATAATAAAGACCAAAACAACAAATAATTTTGACAATTTTTGGATTTCTCGCAATGGTTTGCATAACTTAAAATAGCAATAGTTATACTGTGCAACCGAATGCACCATGCGCATGGTGCATACGATGCAAAACGACGTCGTTTTGATTAAAAATGCGCGTCCCACTTAAAAAAAAAAATTCAGGTTAGATTATCGGCAATAGCATTATTGTGGATCTATAGTTATGAATTTATGGATATTTAGTTCATTCATTGTAGATATTTACTTCATTCATTCACTGTGGATATATAGTTATGAATTTATGGATATATAGTTATGAATTTCTGGATATATAGTTATGAATTTATGGATATTTAGTTCATTCATTGTAGATTTTTACTTCATTCATTAACTGTGGATATATAGTTATGAATCTGTGGACATATAGTTATGAATTTATGGATATAAAAATGTTATTGTCGAGAATCGAACCTGATTTCTTTTTTAAGTGGGGTGCGCGTTTTTAACCAAAACAACGTCATTTTACATCATATGCACCATGCACATGGTGTATTCGGTTGCACAGCATAATTTGCGTTAAAATAGGGCGTGGTTGGGCTTAAATTTTTCTTGATCACTTTTATTTGGTAATCAATTTCGGACAATAATTGAAAAAACTAAAAAAAAAAAAAAAGAAGTAAAAACATCTAAATTTCACATTGTGTGTGAATAACGGAGGAATAAAAAATAATGTTAATAAAATAATATTCCATTTGTCACATTTTAATTTACTTGTACTGTTTGCTATTAATTTGTCAAACTACATTTTTTTTCTTTGTTTATTTTTATTAGTATTTTCTTATAATTTCTTTTTATTTTATGTGTGTATAATATTACTTTAAATGTAATTTATAAAATATAAATTTTATATAATAATTCTAAATTGTATATTATGAAAAATATGAATTGTACTGTAAATAACTTCAATCAAGTTAATCCAAACAAATACATAAAATATGATGGAGAGAGTACTATGGCAAATTATGCTGTGAATGGTGCATACAGATGCAAAAACGACGTCGTTTTATTAAAAACGCGCGTTTTCCCTTAAAATAAAAATTCAGGTTCGATTCCCAGTAACAACATATGAACTAAAATTCCAGAATCGATGAACTATAATTCCATAATCGATGAACTATAATTCCAGAATCTAATCTATGAACTAAAAATTGCAGAATGAATGAACTAAAATTTCAGAATCTATGAACTAAAATTTCAGAATCTATGAATTACAATTCCATAATCGATGAACTATCATTCCAGAATCAATGAACTAAAATTCCATAATCTATGAACTAAAATTCCATAATAAATGAACAACATAATGTTGTTGCTGTGAATCGAACCTGAATTTTTTTTTTTTTAAGGGGAGACACGCGTTTTTAATAAAATGACGTCGTTTTTGCATCTGCATGGTGCATACGGATGCACAGTATAACTACTCGAGTACTATATACACATGTTTATGAGCCAAACTTGCGAGGTTGGTTAGATAGCCCGATTAGTTTGATATCACATGCAATAAAAGAGGAAGAGAGCAACTCGAGGTTGCACGCTACAGAGTCAATCGACTAACATAGCTGATCAATATAGAAAGGCACGTGGAGGTATGTTAGTGGACCAACTAAGCTTAGAACTGGCTCTATGTGTATAAATAAGTTGTCCAATCCTCACTCATGAGATCATATTGTGCTCATATGTGTTACTCATTTCTAATGGAGTAATATTATCAGACCGCGCTTGTAATATTAGATTGATTGAGCCGAAACTTTTCCTTATTCACTCTATCACACTTACTAACATGAATATGCACCAATTGACGTGGATTGACTTTATTTATACTACACTAAATACCTTTAGTATAGTAAAATAATACTCAGGTATTTGTATTTATAAAGATAAGATAATCTCATATTATCTATAACACCAAATAATCTTGGAATTATTTGAGAAATTAATATAAAGAGAATTAAAACATGTGTTCTATTGCAATTGAAAGTCAAAGTTAATAGTTGGTATGCACATTTATATTTATATATTATATATTATATACTCAATATGTCGCTTCACGTGTACAGATGAATTACTTTTTTATGAGTTTCAAGCAACACAAATTATAGTCTATTTTGTTATTAGGTGACACAGAAACTTGAATGAGATATCAAATCTAAAGTGATGGTTGAATTGCATATTTATATTTATATTTATGAGTTTTTTGCACTTTTGGTCCCACAACTATAGTGGCACTAGCAGAATTGATCCACGACTTTTGAATCTTGCAATTTTAGTCCACGACTATTGATTTTTTTGCAAAAGTGGTCATTCAGGCCACTTTTCTGTCAAAATTCCACCGAAAAAAAAAATCTCCATTTTAACAGGGCTAAAATTGACATTTTACTTATCTCAACAAAAAAATATATATAAGCGATTGCATTTGAGAATCTCCGCCGTTTCTCTCGCCGAAAATCTATACAGCGAAACTTTTCCGATGTCTTCGAATGATCCGGCAGGCGTGCTGGCTCCGCCTCCAATGCTGCTGCCGGATAACCCAACTAGCCCGGGGAACACCACGGCCGCTCCGCCGCTTACTGACAGCCCTGCTTGCTTCATGAACTCTGCCGCCTGGGGCAGTAGTATGTAGCCCAGTAATATTGTATGTAGTCAAATGTCAATTTTTTTCTTTTATTTTTTGAGATAAGTAAAATGTCAATTTTAGCCCTGTTAAAAATGGAGAATTTTTTTTCTGGTGGAATTTTGACGGAAAAGTGGCCGGAAGGACCATTTTTGCAAAAAAATCAATAATCGTGGACTAAAATTACAAGGTTCAAAAGTAGTGGATCAATTCTGCTAGTACCATTATAGTCGTAGGACCAAAAGTGCAAGAAACTCTTATATTTATTATATGCTCAACAAAGGGAACAATATTGCCCGCAGAGTTGAGGTGTAGACACCGACTATGAGAAAGAAAACAAGAGGGTGTAATTATGAAGAATGTAACAATGAAAAGAGTTTGCAAAAAGAAAAAAAAAAAAAGTTTGAAAAAAGTCACAAAAAGATAAGAAAGGAAGGCATTGGACTTTGGATTCTCTCACTCATAGTCCAAACAACGGTCGATCGTGTCAAACTCCGACGTTAACACTTCACCCTCTCCATCACTGACAAAAAAACAACAAATCTCTCTATCTCTCTCTCTAGAATGAACTTTCACAACTATTCTGCTTTTTAGCTCTCTCTACTTCTACTACGTACTAAAAGTGGCCACTTTTTCTCCTGCTATATTCTTCTCTCTTTTCATCTACTCCGTTGCCCAAAATGGCCGACGAATCCACCCAACCACCGCCGCCCGCGCCTGAGGTAGAAGCTCCGCCGCCGCCGCTGCCGGAGGAGGAGCCGCCTCTTGCTTCGGTGGAGATACCGCCTCCTGCGGCGAAGGAGGAGCATCATGCCGTTGTTGCCGTGGTTGAGAAAGAGGCCCCTCTAGCTTCCTTTTCGCCGCCGCCGCCGCCGGAGGAGCATGTTTCCGTTACGGTGCCTGCGGCGGCAGCGGGGGTGCAAGAAGAGGGCGCTGCCGAATCGGAGGAGTCGAAGGCGGCTGAAGTGAAGAAGGCGCCGGAAGCGTTGGGTTCGTTCAAGGAAGAGAGCAACGTCGTCTCAGATCTCTCCGAATCGGAGCGAAAAGCGTTGGAGGAATTCAAAACCTTAGTTCAAGAAGCTCTTAAAAACAACATTTTTAACCCCACCCAAGCCCCCAAAACCACCGAAGAACCCTCATCGGAAATCTCGAATTCGCCTCAAGAACCATCAATCTGGGGAATCCCACTCCTGAAAGACGACCGGAGCGACGTGATTCTACTGAAATACCTCCGCGCTCGCGATTTCAAGGTGAAGGAATCATTCGCGATGCTAAAGAACACTCTACGCTGGAGGAAAGAATTCAACATTGACGAGCTAGTAGACGAGGAACTCGGAGACCACCTCGAAAAGGTTGTCTTTATGCATGGACACGACAAGGAAAGCCACCCTGTCTGCTACAACGTGTACGGGGAGTTTCAGAACAAGGAGCTATACAACAAAACATTCGCAGATGAGGAGAAGAGGTCAAGGTTCCTGCGATGGCGGATTCAGTTCTTGGAGAAGAGTATCAGGAAACTGGATTTCAATCCTGGTGGCACTAACACTATCTTTCAAGTTAGTGATCTTAAGAATTCACCTGGACCTGGGAAACGGGAGCTCCGGATTGCCACCAAACAGGCCCTCCATCTTCTTCAAGATAATTACCCTGAATTTGTGGCAAAGCAGGTACCTTTTTTGTTTTTTTATGTCGTTATAATCACTGTGTTCTGATGGTGAGTTGCAGATTTGTTTAATTGGCTGTTTACAAATGTGGGTTTCTCTTAGATTCATTTGGAGATTGAGTTGCTTGTTTAGTTCTAGCTTTGACAGTGATTAACTAGTTTGATAATATAGTTTATGGTAGACCTGATTTTTTTTTAGAGTAACTAGGGAAACTGAATCCACTCCTCGAAAGCTCGAAAGTGTGCATGGGATAAACTCGGTCTTGTGACCCTGGACCACAAGGAGGTATTCGGGTATACTGAATAAACTCCGTCTTATAACCCTGCCTTTGCCGGCATAAGGAGGTATTCGGGTACACGGGATAAATCCCGTATTGTAACCTTGCCTTTGACCTTAGCCGGCAAAGGAACACAAGAAGGTAAACCTGTCTAAGGTTGTCTAAACCTGATTTGTGGGATGTAAACATTGTGCATATGAGTAGATCGAATTCATGTTATTGTATAGGTGGTATGTGTTGTGTACAGGCTGCCTCTGTTATTAAAGTGTGCTCTAAATGTGTATCTATTCTTGATGGCTGAAGGTGTTCATCAATGTTCCGTGGTGGTATTTGGCTTTCTATACGATGATCGGTCCATTCTTGACACAGAGGACCAAAAGCAAGTTTGTGTTTGCCAGCCCTGCAAAGACTGCCGAAACTCTTTTCAAGTACGTAATGGTTTGCTAAACTGCCAGTTATTAGTGGGCTAGAGCCAGAATTGAGATGAGTTGTGTTGTTTACATATCAGGTATATTTCTCCAGAGCACGTGCCAATTCAATATGGTGGCCTTAGTGTCGATTATTGTGAATGCAACCCGGAGTTCACTGTTGATCATCCAGCTACCGAGATTATCGTTAAACCTGCCACAAAACAAACTGTGGAAATCATTGTGAACGAGGTGAAGTTAGGGAGCAATTTATAAATTCGTTTATTAGTTGATTATTATCACGACTAAAAGATTTTGATTGAATTTGCAGAAGTGCATCATCGTTTGGGAGCTACGTGTACTGGGGTGGGAGGTAACTTATAGCGCCGAATTTGTGCCAAATACTGAAGGCAGCTACACCATAAACATACAAAAGCCGAGGAAGATGGCACCAACTGACGAACCCGTAGTTTCCAGCAGCTTCAAAATAAGCGAGCTTGGTAAGATTCTGCTCACGATCGACAACCCTACATCAAAGAAGAAGAAGCTTCTTTACAGGTTCAAGGACATCGCTTACTGTGATTGAGATCGAGGATCTTTGTTCGTTAAAGGTGGATGATCTTAACTCGATAACCCGATTATGGAGGAAGTGCCAACATTCCTATGATGTTTTGGAACCAAGACGAATGATGTTTTGGACAGCAGGTACATAGACTGAGAGAAGGTTGTTTCATTGTTTGTACAACAGTGTGGTGTATGTTTGGTTGTGTTATGATGAATATTTTGTTTATTCAATGTCTTTTTGTAACCTTTGACACTTACACATCCTAGTTTTGAGTGGGCAATATACATTGAATTTTTCTAGTGTTATTTCAATATAATTCATCATGATTGGTGTTTTAGGTGACAATTCTTATCATGCGCATTCTAGATCTTATCTAGATTATGTATATGCACTTAACATATTATGTATCTTTAGTTAATAAATGATGTATATATTGCAGTTATCGTATTATGTATTTGTAGTTAATATATTATATACTTTTAATTTATTTACTGGTACATAATATATTAACTGAAAGTATATAATATGTTAATTGCATACATATAATTGGGATTAAGGTTTAGGGTCACAATGCATATGGTAGATGTTGTGACTTGTAAAGAGGTGAAGAGTCACCTTATAGTGGCCTGGCATTTTCAGTATTTTAGGGTTTAGGTGTTTTAACACAATTTTTAAACTCCTTTGACTCATCTTTTGGTATAGCTTTATCAACTTTTTGCCAGCTCCCTGGCCTATGGGCTCAAGAGATTCCTTCCATGTTATTATTCTATCTTAATTTATTGATTTGCAGTTGTAAATTAAAGGTGATGCATGCCTGAATGATTGCCTTTTTTGATAAGATATGCTTTAAAGACATTGTAGCTTAGCAGTGAGCTGATTGGGTGGGAATGACATTTTTCATTGAGGTTGTCTATTGGTAATTATGATGCTTTTAGATAGAATCAACATAAATGGGGATTGCTTTCTTAGCACAATATGGAGGACTTATAACTTACTCCCTCCGTCCCTTATTTAGAAGATTATATTTAATGTATCGGCAAAGAAGCAATGAGACAGCCGTTGGACTCCTTGCCTGACTTCTATTAAGCTTTCGATATACTCAATTGGTTTATCAATTCAAAAAAATTTACTCCGTAATATATTTTATTCTGCGGGTAATTGTTGAGTGTAGGGTTCAAATGAGATTTAGTTTTAGGTCAAAATGCCTGGAAAAGTGAAAATGAATCCTTGTATATAATTATTATACTGTCATGCCTGATCAGATACAAATTTATAGATTATGATCGGGAGTAATCTCATAGCATATGACTCTATATCCGTAGGTATACTCTGTATCTCATGAGGAACATTGCCCGATATGAATTGACCCCATTTTGGTTTATCTGACCCAAGTTGAGATACAAAGTTACCTTTTCAGATTATTATTTATTGGGCATCGACTTATGAAATCGGATCCGACCTTAGTGCTTGAGCCGGGTCTCCTCAATCGAATGCTTACGCAAGAGGATTTTTGGATTTTCTCATTTACAATACATCTTAACTCAGGAATGTCTTACCCACTGTCTAAGTATCTCGAGCTCATCGTCAACCTACCCTTCAAGGACACATAGGTGTATTCATAGATCGCGGTATACTTACCACATCATATTATATTTAGTTCATTGGCTTTTAAAGTATAGTTTAACTAGTTGATCAATTTAAAGAGTTAATAATTTTATTTCGCTGAGAGTATATTATATTAAATTCATTGAGCTTTTAGAGTATAGTTTAACTAGTTGATTAATTCAAAATGTTTTTTTTTTTCTTTGAAAATTCAAAAAGAGTCGATAATTTTATTAGATCAATTGAAGTTCATATGGAGGGTTCAATTGAAGTTGAGTTCCAAAGTCAAAATGTCTGGAAAAGTTAGAATGCGTTTAACCTATCATTAGATCAAATCATGAAACTAAGGCATAACTAGGTTACAATAGCACGTACCATTTCTTCTAGATTGACACAAAATGAACATATATGCAATGATCTGCCAAAGATTGACACACTTTTATGGCCATGTTAACGGATGTTCGAGGAGTCTACCATTATTATTATTTTCTAATTAACTCAATTACCCTTAACTCGGGAGTAGAAGGGTTGGTGACATAATATTAAAATTAGTTATTTAAATTTAATTTGGACCCGAGATTAGAGCAATGAGTAACGAACCGTTGCTTAGCATTTAATATAGTGTCATTTTACTTATTAGAGCATCGCTTTATTAAGGAGCAACAATTATAATGGGTAATTACATTTATGAATGAGAGTGCTGCAATTATTAGAAGATCGTTGTATGTAGCAAGAAATTATTGTCCATTTTCAACAGGTGGAGAGAAAATTGTTTTTGCACCAGGTTCCACCAACAATTTCAAATTAGTCATTTTTCAATAGTTATGCTGTGCAACTGAATGTACCATGCGCATGGTGCATACAGTTCAAAACGACGTCGTTTTGATTAAAAACGCGCATCCCACTTAAAAAAAAAAATCAGGTTCGACTCTCAGCAATAGCATTATTGTGGATATATGGTTATGAAATTGTGGATATATAGTTATGAATTTATGGATATTTAGTTCATTCATTGTGGATATTTAGTTCAATCATATATTGTGGATATTTAGTTCATTCATTGTGGATTTTTACTTCATTCATTCATTCATTGTGGATTTTTACTTCATTCATTCACTGTGGATATATAATTATGAAATTGTGGATATATAGTTATGAAATTGTGGTTATATAGTTATGAATTTCTGGATATATAAAAATGCTATTGCCGGGAATCGAACCTGATTTCTTCTTTAAGTGGGACGCACGTTTTTTTAACCAAAACGGCGCCGTTTTGCAACCGTATGCACCTTGCAAGGTGCATTCGGTTGCACAGCATAATTTGCGGTCATTTTTGGTATAGGCCAGCATGAACTTTTGTATAATGGACAAAAAACCTACACAACAGGTCCATTTTTGGGTGGACAACAATCAGGGAATTTTCAGCCACGATTGTGATTTAATTAATAATCTGCTTGGTGGCAGGACGACCCATGGTCATGAAAACGAACTTCCTTTTGGTGTTCTCAGTCAACAATGGACTGATCATCTTGGTGAGACCCAAATACCACTTGGGGGAATTTATGAACACCAATATTAAGATTTAAGAGCCCTAAATCACAATTTGATTAGCCACCACAGAGTGGCAAATTATACCGTGCACGAGGGCGCACAATAGCCCAAAACAGCGTTGTTTTATATTTTTTCACGTGTCTGCTGTTAATTCTTAAAAAACAAAATTCATGTTTCGAATGTACATAATTATATAATAGAATACACATAATTTTATACCTGAATACACAATCTTTTTTGAAAGGATAATACACATAATCTAACATAATACATAATATACATAAACTCTCAACATAATACACATAAACTCTTAACTCTTTAAAAAAAATCCATGTTTCAAATGTACAGAATTATATAATAGAATGTACAGAATTTTATACTTGAAAACACAGAATTTTATAACTGAAAATTCCCATGTTTCGAATATACAGAATTACATAATAGAATTCACATAATTTTATATCTGAAATTAACAAAACGACGTCTTTTGGGAAGCGTGGGGCGCACATTGCTATGTATAATGATTGCCACAGAGTGGTATTGGAGCAATCATTATTGTGTGAATTCTAAAAATTATTGTATTGGAGCCCAAAATATGTATTAATTCTTTTGTGGGCAACAACGTGCAACATTTGAACCCTACTCTACTAGCTAACATTCTGCGATTTACTCCTCTAATCAACCACGCAACGGCAAGAAGCTAGTGGCCATTGGGGTTCAACTCAAACTTTTTATTTATTTTTTTGGTTACTAATATATAGCCTAGACAACAAATGGCATGGATTGTCCTTTTGAACATTGAATAGTGGCAAAGAAAAAATGGTGCACATGGCTCCCCCAACAAATTCTGTACATCAAGCAACAAAAATGTGAGTAGTGGGTACAAATGAGACTTTGACTAAACAGGAAGCCAGGAATGGATGGGGGTAGGAAGGGCTGTTGGGAAGGCATGCCAATTGGCAACACACATGTTCCCTCTCGTCTTCACTAATTTCAAGCTTAATTAGCTTCCAATTTTGGTCCACTCCCAAGTCCTATCTATATATATAGTCCACCGATTTAATTTAAACATCCGCCGTTCTGCACATGCACGGCCCCAGCCGGACAACCACTGCCAACGTTGTTTTTCATTAAAAATTATGGGTTAGGCAATATATATTTTACCCACCAGTATCGAATTGTACATTTCTTTATGAAAGTTAGTTTCGAGACTCGAACTCTTAACGTTTTTAATAAGATTAATCAAATTCTACTCTGTCACGATACGAGAAATTGTCAAACATTCACTACTACCAACCCAAAAGGTGTCATTGCCGTGATAAACATCATATTCCATCAAACTAGCCCTCGAAGGAGTCACGTGGTGTGTCGCTCCAATATCTGGAAACCAGGAGAGAGAAGGTTCACTTGCTACTAATGTGGAGGCCAAATTAACTTGCGGTGTTGACAGAGAGTCCGAATACAGCCGCCGGTAACAATGTGCAGCGGTGTGCCCATGGCTTTTACAAATTTGGCAAATGTGTAGGTGAAAGTGACATTAAATTGAAGGATAAATTTAGTGTACCAACCAAAGTCGTAAATATAATGTCATTTTCATGCATTTGCTAACGGAAAATCATATATTGTCATTTTTTAATACTCAAAGGACATTTACTAATCACTTTTTGATACTTAGACATATGCTAATCATATTATATTCAAAGAACGTTTAGTGGTAATAGGGCAATAGTTGAACGACCATTGAAGGTATTCTATCATACATGGTGAACTTTTCCTTGTTTATTTATTTTGTTTGTCACCTTTTCCACTTAATTACGTACTTCAATGCAACGGATATATATACACAAACTGGCACTGTCGCACACTCATTTAGGCTGCGGCATAAAGGAATCCCATGGAAGAGATCATTGGCGTGTAAATAAAATAAAATAAGAAGGCTAGGGTAACAGAATTTACACTGATCCAAAATAGAAACAAACAAATAAATAAATACAGTATATATATAAACATTTTGTTAAAGTCAGGTACTTGTTAGTATTTCTCTTAAAATAAAATAAAATTACAACTCCTTGAAATGTTTTTTTTATCTTAGACTCATCCTCCATTCTATTTTACATATTTAACATAAAAAGATATATATATATATATATATATATATATATATATATAT